AGTTTCTGTCCACCCCGCAAACACACATGCTTTTGCCTCTTGGCAGACACTCGCCTTAATTAGTTGGCGCCCTGAGCGGTCCGAAACATTCCGCCCTATAACGTATCGGTCGTTGATTGGCCGTTTTTTTTTATGCGGGCTGCCCTCGTACTAAAATCTCGACCGGCTATTGATTGGGCCGCATGCGTTAACAAAGGCCTCACACGTGACAATGCTCCAGCGCTCTGATTGGTTGTCTGATTTAACACGTGCGTGCATTCCGTGGCCGGTTTGGCTTGCTGCACCGGGCCTGGTTACGTCTTTCTTTCTTTCACCACACTATTTCCGTTCTCCATAACAATGTAGTGCTGGGATAGTATGGGGTGCCTGAACCAGATGTCTCTGAGTTTTTTAATCATGCGATATTTAAATGCAGGCAACCGACATGTGTGCTGCAAGTTGACACGTACCTCTTGAGACGTTAGCTGAAATTCTGATGTTTAACATCGGTTGGAAAGGATTGCATACATGGTATTCTAACGTTGGTTGTCATGTAGCACAATCCCAAGATGCTCCAGTCATGCCAGGATACTTTCTCTTGAATGCGTGGCTTTCCAAACCTCAGCGAAAAACATACTTTCCGTGAACGAATCCTTAGACAGTATGCATTTTTCCATCGATTTTTGATGGTAATATCAATCAAGACATTAAAAAAATTAAAACCATTTTCCTTGGTGCAAATTTGAAGATTGCATAGACAGTAGAATTTAATGGAATCAATAAATTTCGCGAGTGCTCTTTAGCTGCGGCTTCTTGCTACATACCATGAATAACATGGTAAAATACAAAAATTGAATTCGTACAGAAAAATCGATGCAAACAGCAAGGCCATAAAAATGGCCAAGAAGGCTAATCAATAATGTAAGCAAGTTAAAAACACTGGGAAGCAAAAAGTGGGGAAAAAAATTCAAGAAAAAAGTAGGCAAAGACATGTGTAAATCAGGAAGCCGGATTTTACCAAGGCAAAGTTAGCTTTACCACGTGCTCCAGCTGTTTACATAGGTCGGGTTTTGACCACCGTATATAGTCTGCCTCCAGGTAGCTCAAAGTAGGAGTTATTCTGGCCGGAACAAGTACTCGGAAGGATGTTTTCGGGTACACAGTGTGGCCCGTATCACCCAAGTGTTCCGTAATAGGTGAACGTTGAATTCTGTTTTCCGATGTTAATAGCCATCTAGGCAAATGCTCTTTAGATCTGCCTGCCAATTTCCCCTGCGTTTGCCCTATTTACTTGCACCCGCAAGTGCAGGTAAATCCATAGACACCATTTGAATTGGCATGCGCTGGCAAGGCATCCTTTGCGCCTGGGATTGGTAGGGTCTTTGTAGGATTGAAAAATATGAGTTCGACCGCAAAAGTTGTTCTTTCGACAGTACTACGTAGGCGTCGCTTTATAGTATTTAAAATTTTGTCACCCTTAACGGACAAAGATACGAAAACGGGCTGACTATTCCGTCATTTTTGGCCGTAAGGGTTTCCTGTACTTGTGGATAAGTCGTGCTGGATATCCCCGCTTAATGAAAGTATCCTTGAGGCAGGCTATCTCTGCAGTATGCATACGGCGGCCAAAACACGCCCTATGTAGATAATTGGAGCACGTGGTGAACCTAACTTTGCCTTGGTAACATCCGGATCTCTGATTTACACATTGCCCTGCCCACCTTTTCGATTCAACGTTTTTCCTCACTTTTGCTTCCCACAGTGTTTTAACTTGCTTACATTATTGATTAGCATTCTTGGCCATTTGCTATGACATTGCTGTTTGCATCGATGTTTCTGTACGAATTCAATTTTTGTACTACCCCATATGTTTATGCAACGAGAGGCCGCAGCTGAAGAGTACTCGCGAAATTTAGTGGTTCCATTAAATTCTGTTACCTGTGAAATCTTTAAACATTATTTTAAAATGCAATTTTGCAAAAAATCAGTTCTTGAATATTATTTTGTAGAAATTTACATCCCTTTCAAATTTCATACTCGAATAATTTGTCACTGTGCGGGTCAAGACCTATTTTTTCAAGACCGTACAGAGTCTGTTCAACTAGCATGGTATCTGCACATTTCTTGCGAAGTTTTCAAAGTTATCTATGTCTTTTTCGGCAATTTTTCGTCAGGCCCCTAACTTTGCAAAACAATAAACATTAGAATGTGTCGAAAAATCAATAATTGCCCTAGCTGGGCGCCTATTGGCCACTGCGGATTTTGTCAGTCTGGTCGGCGTGTTGGGTAAGCCACTGCCACTCGTGGCTGGGGGTGATATGCTATCGTCACCTGGCGTCGGCTACGGAAGGGACAGGGCTTGTGTTAGAGTTTTCTAACAGCAGAATACTGGATTT